CCGGATCTGAAGGGTTGAATCGCTCGGCTTCTCTAGTGAAACAGGAGAGAAAGGCCCAAGAAAGAGCTTTGCTTTCGGGAGGAGAGCGAATCCCAAGATTTGGGGTCACGGGGGACAGATTTGGGGTGGTTCGGAGAACTCTCGCCGATCTCTAGCCCCATCTTGTAATCGGGGTATCTAATCTCCCCAATCTCTTTCCTAGCCCAGCCCTAGCTGGTATGGCTAGGGGTTGAGCCGGAGAGCTATAGGCAAAGCATAGGCTGCGCTCCTGAACGACATTCGTCAAACAAAACACTAGTCCTCATCGTTTGAGGCTGCCGATGCTCACCAGCATCCGGGGAGATGTAATATGTGATTAATAAAGAGTTCCTGGGAATTAATTCCTTTGGCGATCACTATTGACATGGATAGTTTACAATTAAGCCTAAGAAGGTGTCACTTCATTCTTTTTTGAAAATCTAACAGCGTTACTGTTAAGTTTTAAGTTACTGTTATAGTTACAGGAGACAAGTTACTTTACAGCGGAGTTGTGGTTTGTTTCACAGGCCACACTGTCTTCTAGCCACACTGTCTTCTAGCCTATGGATATATTTTTTCAATAGTTACTAAAAGTAATTCTATTGGCTTTAAAAATAACTGAAAGTAACTATTTTTGTTACTTTTAAACAATGAGAAAGCAAAGAATTGCCTTCCAGAAGTGGCCATGATAATGGCCAGAAACGGTTTTAACCTCGGAAACTTAAATAAGGTTTCCCCACCCCCTTGCCCCAGTTTTCTGGGGGGAAAGGACACACCTGTTAAACAGAGACAGATGGGAATTAGGGAATCAGGGGACAACATTCAAATTGAAATTTTGGATGTATCTTTTTAGTGCTGGCCTAGAATACCACAGGTATCCCATGCAACTGAGAAGACCCTTTCCGATCTCAAAAAGTAATTAGCAGGAGAAAAGAACTCATATCTGACTTCTTGTTCCATGGGCTAGCTACTTGTAGCATCTTGCTAGTTGTTTACATTACCAAAATATCTATGTTAGTCACATTTGGAAAAAGAAAAAGAAAAAGGAAAACATTGCTTTTTAAAACTGTAACTAAAACAGTAACTAGCTACTTCTTGGAGCTTGGAATTATAATGAATTACTTTTTCGAGTTAC